CCCTTGCGACTTAAGCCTCGTGTAATCCCTTTTTGCTTTTCCTATTCCTTTTTTTATTTCTCTCTAACCGAATATATTGATTTCTTAACTGCTCTTCCTCTTTTGATAAGCCTATATATGCCTTTCTTTTGATCAATGAGATGTTTTAATCTTTATCCATCTGGGATCATTTCTGTTAGATCTAATTTCCCTACTTGGGACAAAAGTCATCTGGGCAGCCAGTACTATGCTCTGAAATAAGTCATATTGGCAACCAACTCTACCTACCTGACACACAGTAAACTTATATCAATTTAGCCCACTCGGGTAATTTCTCATACCCATTTAGTCAGCCAAGCAGAAATCTGGGACAGCGACTTGATTGCGGTTATCTGGGCAATTCCATGATGCATTGAAACTAAGTGATTTGTGACTGCTTTCCACTAGCTCATCACTAACATTAAGATTATTAACTAGTGATTCTTTGTTGGCAAGAACCAAGTCAAGCAGATTGTTTCCTCTAGTTGATTGTCACAAACTATTTTAAAAAGCAGTCTTGAACCGTATCAAGAAAGTCACTAGACTCGATATTTCCTGTCACATTGTTCCAATCAATTTGTCTAAAGTTAAAATCTCCCATTAGCACAACATTTTCATATCTAGACACATGAATTTCGTTCCACAGCAGCCTACCACACTCCCTATCAAGGCTTGGGGGCCTATAAATCACACCCAAAATTAATTTTTCACGACCTTTGAGAAACTGTAGCCAAACAGATTCTGTGTCCGATGTTTCTAATCTTACATCCTGTCTAACAGCAATTTAAATTATCTCTGACATACATCACCACTCTACCACCCTTTCTGTTGACTATCAGTGTGGAATAGTTTATAACCCTGTGTTGCATTCAGAAGGCATTTCTTTATCTTTCAAGTCGAACCAGAGCTCTGTTATAGCAGTAATATCTATATTACCTGCACTTGCAAGTAATCTTAACTCATCTATCTTATTTCTCAGACTCCTACTATCTGTATAGTAAACCTTAAGGCAGCTAGTCACTCGTTGCCCTCTATCTCTGTTGAGTAATTGCTTTGCCTTTACTAGCAACTTTATTCTGAATCTTTCTTCTTTCAACATACCAGCCTCATCCCACTGAGGTGGGGTGGCCCAAAATAAACAAAAATTTCTCCTTTTAAATTTAGTAATATATACAGGAGAATAGGGTTACTAGCCCCTTGCTCCCGGCATTCTAGTCGCCTCTTACAACACGCATGGCTTACGGAGGAAGAATTCTGTTCCACTTCCCCGTGGAGATAAGAGGAAATAAACAAGAATAAGAACTAGAAAGAAAACAGAAGAAAACCCAGAGGTGAGCGTGTATATATATGCTTGTACACGTATGTGTAGTGTGACTTAAGTGTAAGTAGAAGTAGCAAGATGTACCTGAAATCTTGCATGTTCACGAGACAGAAAAATGGACACCAGCAATCCTACCATCATGTAAAACAATTACAGGCTTTCATTTTACACTCACTTGGCGGGACAGTAGTACCTCTCTTAGGCGGTTGCTGTCTACCAACCTACTACCTAGGCTTATTTTGAATATTGTCTTTTAAACATATCCCTGGGGGATCCTGGTAATATCTGATGTTTTCAACCTGATTGTTTCCCACAAACACCCATACCTCTATAATCTATCCGTTTAAATTCCTAGACAAGTCATCAATGACCCCCTCAATCAAACTGACTAATGCAACCACTCCAACCCCAGAGATATGAACCCCATCCCTTGCATACATATATCCTTGCCATAGAATCTGTCCCAGTTATCAATGAATGGGATTGCAAGTTCCTTGCAGTACCTGTTTAGCCAGCAATTTATACCAATTGCCCTAGACATCCATTCAAGGCAGGTGAAATTGCCGACCTAGAAAATGTACAGAGAACTTTCACGGCGCGCATAACGGAGATAAAACACCTCAATTACTGGGAGCGCTTGAGGTTTCTAAACCTGTATTCCCTGGAACGCAGGAGGGAGAGATACATGATTATATACACCTGGAAAATCCTAGAGGGACTAGTACCGAACTTGCACACGAAAATCACTCACTACGAAAGCAAAAGACTTGGCAGACGATGCACCATCCCCCCAATGAAAAGCAGGGGTGTCACTAGCACGTTAAGAGACCATACAATAAGTGTCAGGGGCCCGAGACTGTTCAACTGCCTCCCAGCACACATAAGGGGGATTACCAACAGACCCCTGGCAGTCTTCAAGCTGGCACTGGACAAGCACCTAAAGTCAGTTCCTGATCAGCCGGGCTGTGGCTCGTACGTTGGTTTGCGTGCAGCCAGCAGCAACAGCCTGGTTGATCAGGCGCTGATCCACCAGGAGGCCTGGTCACAGACCGGGCCGCGGGGGCGTTGACCCCCGAAACTCTCTCCAGGTAAACTCCAGGTAGACCTGACAACTTCTATGGCTGACCTGTACTTATCCAGCAGCTCCTGTCTCCTGCCCTTCCTGATGTCATTTCCACTAGCACTAAGACAGATAATGGGATTGTTTCCATTACCCGACATATCCAACCTGCTGACCGTCACCAACACCAGCTCCTGGGAGGCACTCCTTCCGTCTGACCTTCCTATCTGTTACAAAAAGCACAGTCCGTATATCTTACCTGAGAATCTCCTACAATTAGAATATTCTTACCTAAATTAGCAGGGGAGTCAGTGGTGCCTTTAACCTCACTAACCACTGAAGTACACCTTCACATCTTCTCTATTAACCTTTCTTATCTTCCTTCTTCCTGAAGTGTGAACCACTTGCCACTTAAAGCAGCTGCAACTCTGTAGCTCACTGCTGGTATCCTTTTCCTCACCAGCTCTCACCATCTCACACTCGCTCCCAAACCCATCTAGGTGAAATTTCAGCCTCCTATTTTCCTCCTGAAGTAGAGCCTCCTTCAACACTAACCCGAGATTCCAAATCACTACAGCAGGCCATGTTGCTCAGTAACACCCCACACTAATTTCCAGACAGCTTAGGACAGTGACCACACGTGACCTCTGACCGCAGCGGTCAGAGGTTTCAGTCCGACTTGGACCATTTACAAGGTAACACGTCGTCGTAAGCTCCTCTCCTGTGTGCGGGTTATTTGTGTATACCCCGACTTTGCTCACTGTAAATAATGCATTACCACGTACGTATGTACATGTGCGTGTCAGTCAATTAATATTTGCACTAATAACTCATTACAGTTGTGACCGGATGTGGATGTACGAATGGCTCAATACTTTGTAATTTGTTCACGATTGTATCCATGTATAGACATGTAGATGGTTCATTATCTTTGTAACCTGTTCAGTTATCAAAATTTTGGGGCCCAGTCCCTGGACCCATTATGTACCTCTGCAATCTTTTGACTGCTGCCCACAGGATGGGTATGGGGTACATAATAAAGATATTAAACTAAAGCTAACGAAATGCCCTAGCATGATTGTGGCTTTCTTTGTACTTGGCAAACCAAAATTGTAATTACACATTGTAACCTTTGCAAAGAAATAAAATCTTTATCTTTGAAACTGAGCTCAAAGTAGTGGAAATGTTCGATTTTTGCCGCTATTTAAGAGTAAACAATTCAAGTCATTTGTCCAATACACATCCAACTGGTGGGTCTAATATGCGTTCACGAATGCACTGATATTACTTATGCCAAGCCCATGATGACACTTCAGGCTGCTTGTTCTATCTAGGCTGGAATATTGCTGCACACTAACAGCACCTTAAGGCAGAGAGAAACTGCTGACCTAGAAAATGTACAGAGAACCTTCACGACACGCATAAGTGCGATAAAGCGCCTCAATTACTGGGAATGCTTTAGGTTCCTAAACCTGTACTCCCTAGAATGCAGGCGGGAGAGATGCATGATGATATACACCTGGAAAATCCTAGAGGGATTAGTATCAAACTTGCACACGAAAATCACTCGCTACGAAAGCAAAAGACTTGGCAGACGATACAACATCCCCCCAATGAAAAGCAGGGGTGTCGCTAGCACGTTAAGAGACCATACAATAAGTGTCAGGGACCCGAGACTGTTCAACTGCCTCCCAGCATACTTAAGGGGAATTACCAACAGACCCCTGGCAGTCTTCAAGCTGGCACTGGACAGGCACCTAGTCAGTACCTGACCAGCCGGGCTGTAGGTCGTACGTTGGACTGCGTGCAGCTAGCAGTAACAGCCTGGTTGATCAGGTCCTGGTCCATCAAGAGGCCTGGTCACAGACTGGCCACGGGGGCGTTGACCCCCGAAACACTCCAAGTATAAATTATTACAAAATTGCATAACAGTAAAACTATTCTTATGTGTGAATAAAAAATGAAAAGGGAATTCACATGTAAAACCTGGAAAGGTAACTAATGAATAGGGAAAATGTTATTTTAGTGCCAGGAATGTCTGCATAGTTTATTCAGAACCTTATTTTGAAATTAGAATATTTTGAAATTTATGTGAAATTGGCCAAATTACTAATTTCTAATCACTTTATTGGGCAGTTGAAATAGTTGATTAGGCAGTTTCTTGTGCTCAATCGACAAAATGGAAGACATCCTAGCGAAATAGCTGTGAATTTGGTCTACTGGAAAAAACAGTGTACTAATTGATCTAAAATAGGACTCAAATTGGGCAAAATCTCTTACGTAAATATAGCTGACAGCAAAATTCGTGAAAGCGTAATTTCGTCAATTTTCGGTAAAACGTTTGAATGTACAGCAAATAGTGATCATATTCTTACTAATACAGAAATATATTACTTAATGGTGAACACAGCAATGTTTTTGTCCATTCATCAATGCTGCACATGCATACCAAAATACAATTTATTGGGACTATTTACATAATTTTAACTAAATCACTAAATATAACTAAATGCAAATACTGTACGTACACAAGCATCAAGTATAATTTCTAATATAACCAACATGCCTTTAACACTCAAAAGCAATAGCAGAGGCACTGACCTGCACCAAGACGACGAAAAAGAGAAGCAGACCTTGGTAATGGGCTGGCAGGTACACACCCGAGTTCAAGGAGATGAGGAACACAAACTTTACTAGTAACGCTGCAAACACCAGAGCACTTGACACCCCAACCAACAATCTGTAGCAATGAAATCTCTCGCCATCAAATATGTTACTCAAGTGGCTGTCTCTGATACTCATAAAAGCTGGTACCCACAAAGGCATACCACTCAAAAGGTGTAAAGACGAACATGTGAACAATACCTAAAATAATGGATAAAATCAGAAGCTATTATCATCTGGGTACCTAATAACTGAAGCTTCTATCAATATCCAGCAATCTAGATGGCAGAGATTTTGGTCATCCTCAGAAATCAGGTCAAATATCATCATTTCGCTTACCTTTACAAAGAAAGTTTCTCTTTAATTCTACTGTAGCTCTAGTGGGGGATATTCTGGGTGCAAGTAACTACTTTCATTGGACTAAGTACTATATCTTTGTTAAAAATAATTTAATTCATAAATTAATGAAATATTTTCTAATCTGCTGCTACAGTACAGCCAAGGATTATTTAACTAATACGTGATTCAGTCAAAGAAACACTAAAGCAACTTCAACTAATTAATATGAATAATGGAAAATTATGTATCTGAGAAATTAAGTTAAATTAGAGAAGAGCTACAAAATAATGATATTCAATCAACTATCAATATGGTGATACAGAGGCGTCGCTAGGGTTGGTGCCACCCGGGGCAGCATCTTTGGTGTCACCCCCATGAAATTCAAGGGCGGGGGGGATAGGGGTAGTAAACTCCAGTTACATCACTGCTGCATGACCAGTGACTAATGTTTAGCAATGGGAACGTTTAAAGGCCATAAACCGAACTTTATTAATGATAAAATAAATAATCGTAGTAATAATGAGGAAAAACTCAAATACCACTTTGAGTACAGGCTACAGATCCTACATTTATTCATCTTCAACAATGAAAAAAATTGAAAAATAAAGAAAAAAAACTAGTTCCGATTTAACTGAGTACAGGTAACATCTCAAAGAATCTAATATTTCATTTCCTTGCCTTCAATCCTGCAAAATCATCTATCACATCAAAATCAATGATTTCCCCCTATTTAGGCCTATTTGTACTCTGTAATCCTAAAATAGGCTATATAGAAACGAAGAATTTTTCTTAGGTTGCTGCAGCATGGCTTTGGTCATTAGTGTCACATTTAGAGGCTCTATAGTGTCACCCCCTAAATGGTGTCACCGGGGGCGCCCCCCCCTTACGACGCCCCTGATGCTGAATATTAACCCAATCAGTAAGAAACAACTCAGAAATGACTCGTGTTCCTTACTGATTTCCAATAAATTGCACTTAAACCAAGGAAAACAAGCACTAGAATGCTGGAATGAAATCGCACACTGACAAAACAAAAAAATATATCTAGCACAGCAGTTGCTAAGGGGCAAGAATAAGGAGACTGGGTGTACCGTGTAGCAGCGCAGGAGAGAGGTGTTGGAGTTAGAGCGATGGGAAGCCCTGAGAGCGAGCACAGCAACAGCCCTACCAGCAGACACTGCCCCAGGAAGAGGTGTCGCCGAGAGGGCGTCCCATGGGCAGCACGCACTAACACGTACACCTGCCGGAGACCACATCCTCAGTGCCGCCACCTAAGAATGGCACTCGCATAAAAATACAGGATTAACTTCATACAGCACTTAAAAATATTGATGCTGGTTGCCTGAACGAGGCAGACCCGTCCTCTCCTCATTTATCAATCCATAAACACAAACCGGGTATAAAAGATACATAAAGCACGGGTTACACTATTCAGGCTCAGCATATTCTTTTCACCAGACTTCTAAACAATAATAATAATGTATGCCTGTGGTGTCGCATCTACAACATTTAAAGTATTCCAAGTTTTATAAATTTTAGTGGTTGTAGTACTTATTACCTACTCTTATTCAAGAGTTCTACTTCTGAATTATTGCTCGAAATAAATTACTCCTGCGAGCGAGATTCTCTTTTTGGCTCTGTAGTAGTTACGATGATTAAAGAAATTTAAAATTAAGAGATATCAAGTTGGAGGATCTGGGGCGGGTGTAATAGTAATTAAAAAATAGTCATGAAAAATTCACTTCACGGTAACTGTGAACACCTGTATACAAGTCACCACCACGTGTTCGGTGGGAGGGGTTATACGCCACTTTTAGAATTACTTTAGGTCCCGTCATATCCACGAGTCTCTCCAGCACGCACCTCGAAGGCGACGATGGCTGCCGCATTGGTTGCAGCAGCAGCCAGAAGAGGCACCACCCACGGTGCCGCTCGCAGGTACACTACGCCCAAACTACTGCTGTTGTTGGGTACTGTGCTGTCTTCACCGCCATCTGCAGAAAATAAACAAATCACTTTTATAACAGATCAATTTATAAACAACATTCATTTGCTTTTAGGTCTACAACGCTATGCTGGTCATGGCTCACCTGCTGCGGGCGTGGATGTGAGCAGGGAGTGGTGGTGGGTAGTGTGGGAGACCCCAGCCACGTAATGCGTCGTCAGCTCTTCAAACTCCTCCATCACCAGCCACGAGGGAGGAGACAGGGCAGCAGGACGTAGGTGGGACAGCAGGAGGGAAGAAGGAAGTGGGATGGGAAGAAATGTTAGGATGAAATTACAAATGAGAAGCTAAAAGGGGGGGAAGACATGGGAAAGGAGAAGCATGGAAGGTCAGGAGCAAGCAAGAAATACGAGAAATCTTAGAGAAGGGACAGAAGAGTGGAAAGAGATTTAAGGGGAAAGTGGGCAAGGAAAAGGGGGAGGCAGTGGATGAAGAAACCTAGGAAAAAGGAGAGGAAGCTGGTAGGGTGATAATACAGAAGGGAGAGAAAGAGCTCGTGGTATTGGTTATCGTGACATCACCTGTGGAGAATAAACCTATATCGTCACCGTTGCCAAGTCACGAACACAGACAATACATACTGATAATCATTAAATTAATTAAATAAGAATAGACGGGGCCCTGATACTAAAGTTTTTGAGGTTGTCTCCAAATGGTGTTGTGTGCAGTACATAAGCGCCAATCTTCATATCTGTCCTTCAGATTTTTCACGGCTACGGTGATCACCATCTACTAGGTCGAGGGACTGATTACCTCTTCCACTGTCTTCTGTACACATTTTTACAGTCTTCAGATTATGTCCATGTATTATATTAATAAAGCCACTGGATGGCGAAACCTCTACAAGATACCCAAGTGTTGCACACCCAAGTGTTGCACATCCGTAATTCATGTAAAATTGGCATTTGTAGAGCTGTAACTGCCCACTGTTACTTCAGTAATCCTCTTTTTTAGTGATGCACTACCTCTCAGAGGGTGTAAATGAAGTAGCCGCTCAGGTTGCATAACTAACTGCAGCAGGTATATTAAGGCATGCCAGGCAAGTCCAACTCCTGTACCTGTCGAATTTATTTTTATATAAAAATACCCAAAGTTCTTGCTTCAATGACGTTATTTGAGGGTTTGTTCCACTCGTCTACAACTACTGCCAAACCAGTATTTTCCGATATCCTTTCTAAATCTAAATGGTTTCAACTTTAATCAATTGTTGAAATCCTGATGGTTAGATACATTTTCAGCACATTATTTATAGCCCATTTGTACACTTAATCATTTATCACAAAGTTTTTCCAGAGTGCAAATTCAGTGTCTTCAGTCTGTTCTAGGAAAGATGTCTGATACATGGGATCAACTTAGTCATCCTTCTCCGTACATTTTCCACCAGATTTATGTCCATTCATTACACTTTCAATGATATACCAAGAGAGGGAGGGGAGAACTATTAATGGAGGGATGCACTGATGAAGGGTAAACTCCAGGAAATAGTATTCATAAGATTCTCCACCGTCGTATAGTGATAATTATTAGTCGCAGGTAGAACCACTCATTTAGTCCTTCGACTAGGCTGGTCAGAACCCCACCAACTACTACCACTCATCCTCCCTCTGAACATAACACATGGTCTATAAGAGGTCACTGACCTTCCTGTACCCAAAAGCGATTAATGCGGGTAATGCCTGACCAAGGTCTAGAAAAAATGCAATCTTTTTATACATTATGATTCTTCATATAAGAGGCAACCATCATATCAGTATACTTAACATATTATGCAGAGGCATCCATCACAATACCAACTAGGTTAAAAGATGTGTGCACTTATCAAGACTAAGAAAACTTCCCCCCCCCCCCAAGTGGCTTCTTCAGTCCTAATACAGAGAAACTAGAACAAGAAGATAATGCAAGTGGTCAGGTGAGCATAGGTTAGAAGTGGAGCAACACATTAGATTCTCAAAAATTGGTTGGCCTGATATATAAGCGAGGCCGATGGACCTCCAACATTGCTTCCTGATACATAAGAACATAAGAACGAAGGAACACTGCAGAAGGCCTACTGGCCCATGCGAGGCAGGTCCAAGTCTCCTACCGGCTTAAGCCAATGCACCCAACCTAGTCAGGTCAGGTCACATTGACTTAAGGGAGGAACACGGCAACCGACCTGGTAGCACAAGCTATCAGGTCCAACTCACACCCACCCACATCTACTCATGTATTTATCCAACCTATTTTTAAAGCTACACAACGTTCTGGCCTCTATAACGGTACTTGGGAGTTTGTTCCACTCATCCACAACTATTACCAAACCAGTACTTTCCTATATCCTTCCTGAATCTGAATTTTTCCAACTTAAAACCATTGCTGCGAGTCCTGTCTAGGCTAGATATTTTCAGCACACTATTTACATCCCCTTTATTTATTCCTGTCTTCCATTTATACACCTCAATCATATCCCCCCTAATTCTAAGTCTTTCTAGAGAGTGCAGATTCAGGGCCCTTAGTCTATCCTCATAGGGAAGGTTTCTGATACATGGGATCAACTTTGTCATCCTCCTTTGTACATTTTCCAGAGAATTTATATCCATTCTGTAATACGGTGACCAAAACTGTGCAGCATAATCTAAATGAGGCCTAACCAAGGATGTATAGAGTTGAAGAACAACCTGAGGACTCCTATTATTTATGCTTCTTGATATGAAGCCAAGGATTCTATTAGCTTTATTGCGAACACTTATGCACTGTTGTCTTGGTTTCAGATTACTGCTAACCAGAACTCTTAAATCTTTATCGCAATCCGTAATATTAAGATCTACATTATTTAGTTTATATGTGGCATGGTTATTGTCCTGTCCAACATTTAGAACTTTGCATTTGTCTATATTAAACTGCATCTGCCACTTCTCCGACCACTGCATCAGTCTATTCAAATCTTCCTGGAGTGCTCGAATGTCCTCGTCAGAATTAATTCGACGGCCTATTTTGGTGTCATCGGCAAACTTGCCGATGTCGCTCTTTATGCCCTCATCTATGTCGTTTATGTAGATTGTGAACAGCAGGGGGCCCAACACTGACCCCTGTGGAACACCGCTCGTGACACTTCCCCACTCTGATTTCTCCCCATTTATGCAAACTCTCTGCTGCCTATTTGTCAACCATGCCTCTATCCAGGAAAAAATTTCTCCTCCTATTCCATGTGCTTTAATTTTCCTCAATAGTCTCTGATGTGGGACCCTGTCAAAAGCCTTACTGAAGTCCATATACACAATATCATATTCATTACCATGATCTGCCTCCTCAAATACCTTAGTGAAAAAAGTTAATAAATTCGTAAGGCAGGAACGCCCCTTTGTAAAACCATGCTGAGATTCGTTGATTAATTTATGCTTTACAAGGTGGCTACGAAGTGCCTCGGCAATTATTGATTCCATAAATTTTCCCACTATGGAGGTTAGGCTTATTGGTCTATAGTTCGAAGCTAAGGACCTGTCACCTGTTTTGAAAATAGGTATCACATTTGCCATTTTCCACTTATCTGGCACCATGCCAGTTTGTAGTGATATGTTGAAAAGATTAGCCAAAGGTGTGCTAAGCTCCTCTTTACATTCCTTTAGAACCCTTGCATACAGTTCATCAGGGCCTGGGGATTTGTTAGGTTTTAATTTATCTATTTGCCTAAGGACCATGTCACTTGTGACCCTAATCGTGCACAGTTTATTATCGTCCTGTTCTACATAATTTATCATTACTGGAATATCGCTGGTATCCTCCTGTGTAAAAACTGAGAGGAAGTATATGTTAAAAATTCTGCACATTTCCTTATCACTGTCAGTGAGCTGACCCGAGGAACTTTTGAGTGGGCCTATCTTGTCCCTGATCTTACTTCTGTATACCTGAAAGAATCCTTTTGGGTTAGTCTTCGATTCTCTTGCAACTTTAACCTCAGAATCTCTTTGCTTTTCTAATTCCCTTTTTTATTTCTCTCTAACTGAATATATCGATTTCTTAATTGCCCCTCTCCTCTTTTGATTTGCCTATATATGCCTCTCTTTTGACCAATCAGATATTTTAATCTATTGTTCATCCATTTAGGATAATTTTTGTTTGATCTGATTTCCCTATTTGGAACATAATTTGACTGAGCAGCTAGAACTATGCCCTGGAAAGCATCATATCGGCAACCATCACCACCTACCTGACCCTTAGTCAAGTCATTCCAGTTCAGCCCACCTAAGCAATTTTTCAGTCCTATGAAATCAGCCAAGCGAAAGTCAGGGACGGAGACTTGATTGCCATTATTAGGGGAATTCCATGATATATTAAAACTGAGTGATTTGTGATCACTTTCCCCAAGCTCATCATTAACCTCAAGATTATTAATTAGTGTTTCCCTACTGGCAAGAACCAAGTCAAGGAGGTTATTTCCCCTAGTTGGCTCTGTCACAAACTGTTTTAAAAAACAATCCTGGATCGTACAATTTGTCATCTAATGGCTATATCACTGTTCAAATTCAATTCAATTCAAGTTTATTCTCTATAAGGATTACAATGCTGAGTTTACAGAAATTTGGTTATTGTGTGGTTTACATGTAGTAAAATAGTGATTACAGTGTACCACTAGAACGCTGGGTTTCTTGTCTAATGGCTGTATCACTTGAGTAGCAATCGTTTACCAAGGGTTGTAGATATGCTAGAACTGCCTGACTTGTGTGGTGTAGTATGGTGTTTATGACCGCTACTACTGCTGCTGCTTCCAGGGACTTGCTAGTAAGTGCTGGTAAGAAGCAATGATAGCACTCACCAACATTATTTGCAAAAAAGTCAGGCTGTTATTGCATATCCAGAACTTTGACCAGAGGATACCACATAAGTGGTCTAAACCACAGAGGGTTACTGGTAAACTCAAGAATGAGTTTACCAGTAACCATTTAAACACAATATATCTATGTTCACTGGGAAAAGCTCAACTCGTGTAGGTCATGCAATGTTTGGAGGATGGGAGGTAACAAGGTTTCATCCAGGAGGAAGTAAAGAAAATAAAGACAAATTGAGTACAGGACAAACTCGAACCATTCAACAAGCGAAGCTTCACGCCAGAAACTTTGGAGTAATGACGTCAGAAAAGATCTAACATTCAAGATCACAACAATGTTGCTATTGTTAGAGCAAGGAAAGTGACTGGCTACATAAACTCTGAAGCCAAGGGATGCCGAGTCAATGACGATACTCAAGTTACTTGTTCTTTGCAGGCTGGATACTGAACTCTTCAAGGTACCTGGAGTATACCTGGAGGGTGTTCCGGGGGTCAGCGCCCCCACGGCCCGGTTCATGACCAGGCCTCGTGGTGGATCAGGGCCTGATCAACCAGGCTGTTACGGCTGGCCGCACGCAAACTGACGTACGAACCACAGCCTGGCTGGTCAGGTACTGACTTTAGGTTTCAGTCTAGCTCCCTCTTGAAGACAGCTAGGGGTCTATTAGTAATCCCCCATTAATTAATAAAATACCCTTCACTCCTGAACATGTGATC